GCTTGAGGTCTAGGCATGAAACTATGAGGGCTTGAAAATCAGGGACCATGGAAGGTGTAATAATTCAGCCCGGTGGAGAGGGAGAATGGAGTTTATAAAGGGTGCAGAGCAGGTGAACTAGATGAGCTGAACAGGTGAGTGTAATCAGGGCTGATGAGCTGAAAGTGCAGAGGGGGGTGTGGCTAATGACAGAAGAAAAAACAGCATGATGACAAAGAGGAGCAGAAGCTGCAGGCTGGGTCAGCTGGGCGGACGGAAGGAGGAAGCTGTTGGGCGCGGAATTCAAAACAATTTTTGACGGATTATCGGTATTTGACATTTTTTGGACTTTGGAACAGGCGGAAATTGGCATAAACTGGTATGTGAATGGTTCGGATGGAAAAACAGGTAGGAGACGAGGCAGACATGGATTTTCAGGGGTGGACACCGGTAGGTAGAGGGAGAGGACGCGGAAGAAATAAAATGGAGGAAGGGACAAATGACAGCCAGAGTAATAAAAGGGAGTTGGAAGGGAGCAGCTCTGATGAAGAAAGGGTAGTAAGAAGAAAAGTAGTGAGGGATGAATTTAAAATAATATTAAAACTAAAAAATGAGGAAGGGCAGGGTAACATAAGCCCCATTTTGATATCAAAAGAAATAAAAAGGAAGATTGGGGATGTAGAAATGGTGAAGGTGTTAAGAGATGGAAATTTATTAGTGTCATGTAAAACTGAAGAACAAAAAAATAAGGCTTTGCACGTCGAGAACATCTGTAAAAGAATGTTCATGGAAAGAAAGATAATAGGAGAAAACAAAACAGTTCGCAGAGTTATTTACGGGATCCCAGTGGATGAAGATTTAGATAAAATAAAAAGGAACACTGTTGGTGCACAAGTAAACAACCTGAAGAGACTGTCAAGAACTGTTAATGGGGAAAGAGTAGGAAGTTTATCAATTATGATTGAGTTTGATGAGACAACCTTACCAGCAAACATAAAAATAGGTTATTTAAATTTTCAAGTTAGACCTTACATCCCACCACCACTCCGCTGCTACAAGTGCCAGAGATATGGACACATTGCAGCAGCGTGCAAAGGTAAACAGAGGTGTCCAAAGTGTGGAGAAGACCATAGGATAGAAGAATGTAAAGAAGAAAAGGAGAAGTGTTGCAACTGTGGAGGACAACATAGAGTTACATATGGAGGGTGTGAAGTGAGGAAAACGGCAAAAGAAATCCAACAGGTGAAAATAAATAAAAACACCACATATGCAGAGGCAGTCAAAAGTGTCAAAGAACAAAAGACAAGAGCAACAGGACAAACAGAGAACCAGAACCCACAACAAAGTACCAGTAAACAGCAAACAGAGGAAAACATCACAATGCCAGTTGAAAACCTAATATTATTCATAGCATATGTCATAAACTGCACTGACCAGGCCAAACATAAAACAGAGAAAATTAAAATAATTGTGAGAGGAGCTGAAAAATTTTTGGTGTTCAAAGAGGGATCTTGGGAAAACATTAACAAAAGGTTGGAAGCTGATGGAAGACCAGGAACACCAGGTGACAATATATGATTATATTACAATGGAATGCTAGAAGTTTAATTGCTAATGGACAGGAACTTAAAGGTTATATTAACGAACTTCAAGAGAAACCAGACGTTATTTGTGTACAGGAGACGTGGTTAAAACCAACAATAGATTTTATTATTAAAGGATATGATAGTATAAGAAGGGATCGACAAGAAGGAAGTGGAGGAGGGTGTATAATATTTATAAAACAAGGCAGGCAATATCAAATAATAGGGAAAGGTAAAGAATTGGAATATATAGTAATAGAAATTTGGGGAAAAGAAGGAAATTGTAAAATATTAAATTTTTATAATCCATGTAAAACATTGTCACTGGAGTTGATGGAAGAGGTGATGGAACATCTGGAAGGGAGAGTAATATGGTGTGGGGACTTTAATGCTAATAGCACAGTATGGGGTAAATGTAACGATAAAAATGGACAGATTATCGAAGAAATAATGGAAAACAAAAATTTAGTATGTATTAATGATGGAA